TATCTATCTATCTATCTATCTATCTATCTATCTATCTATCTATCTATTCTTTCTCTCTCTCCCCCTCTATCTATCTATTCTATCTATCGCTTTCTTTCTATCTATCTATTCTACCTCTCTTATCTATCTATTGCAGGGGTCTTCAAACTTGACAGCTTTAAGACGTGTGGACTTCCACTCCCAGAATTCCTCCTCCTCCAGTCATGTTAGCTCAGGAATTCTGGGAGTGGAAGTCCACAAGTCTTAAACTTGCCAAGGTTGGAGATCCCTGACCTGGATGGTTGAGAATTTCCATGGACCTTCACCCACCTTAAAGTTGCCATGGCTGAGAAGCACCACTAACCAGACCTTCTGTGCAATGGACACTGTGAAATCCTACCCTCGGAGAAATTAAGCACATGCTCTCCTGCGTCTCTGCTGGCTGAAGTGAACGAGCATGCGAGAACCTCGCGCGTCAGTCCTTTTCCCAAGCCAGCTTTGGCAGACCCAATTGCTCAAGAAGGTGCTGAAAGCCGCTTATCTCAGGAGTGCATGGAACAACCGCTCTCCCGTCCCATCGGCAGGCTGTGGGTGCAAGAAGGCCGGCCTTATCTACAGCAGAGTGCTCTGGATTAGCTCTCCAAGTAATGCCACCCCACCCCCCACCCTGGGGACATCAAGCCGAAGAACCGGTTTCTGTCAAACACCTCCAAACATTCCCTGGACAAACGTGACAGTCACCCATGTTTCCATTTTGAAAAACTGTACCTGTTCCCTCTTGGGAAGTCAAGTAGGGCAGTGGAAAATATTTAGCTGCTTTGTTTCATAGTAAACGTTCCTCCTTGATGGGCAGAGGGGACAAAGCTGTCGTGCAGGGTGCACTTCAAGGCGCATAGAGCAGGGGTTGCCCACCTTTTGGACCCCAGGGACCACCAAACTCACAATTTTAAATCCCGCAAACCAGAGACCCTGGAAAAATCCCACAAAAAGTCTGCAGGGAAATTCCCCACCTCATTGTCCTATCGATCGATGATTCTTTATTTGGGATCGCAGGATACCATCTCCAGCTCTGTTCTCAGGGGAGAGAGAGAGAAAGAGACTTTTGGCTCCATGCAAGGAAAGCAGCAGAAGCCACAGAAGTCTTTCTTTCTTTCCCCCAAACTCCGCCAGAAACGAGTCTTTGCCGGCGCAGCCTCTTGGAGCAGGAGGCCTTG